CTTGCTACGGAAACCGAAGTTAAGCGCCATCCTGAATAGCAACCTCTCTCCTCTCTCCTCTGCCATTTTATTAAAAATCAGGTTTAAAACTGAGGTTAATCCTGCTATTAATTAAAACAAAAACACAATAGTTATATACGCACAGCGCGAAAGAAAGTCGAAGTTTACACTTTTTTTTTTTTTGTCCTGATTAATTAAGAGAACGTGCCGGTGGCGTGATACTGCGGGACGGTCAGGCTGGACATATTTCAATCTTTTACCCGCACGCGAAGTGCGCTTGCAATATTGCACTTATTGGTTTTCGTGCCTGACAAACGTCTTGACAAGCCTCGGTCAAAAGTCACGATCAATTGCACAAGAGCCACACTGATGACTGCATATCGAAGCTGAGCCATAAATCTGATAAGCCAATTAGCAGACAAGTAGTCTGTATAGCAAAGTATGAAGGAATTCTTGACTTGTCAAAACAGACTTTGCTTTTGTTTTCATACAACAGTGAATGTATGGTTTAGGACACGCGTTTAGATGGGTGGCTAAAAATAAAACTGATATTAGTCTTTGTTAGGGTTCTGAGGTAAGTGCACTGAGGTAAATCGCAAGGTTATAGGCATTTTAAGGTCAGGTTTTTCCAGTACCGGCCATAAAATAAAACTTTACCATTTGAGCTGAAATACTGAACTTATGTAGGTTGCGATGGTCATATATTATCAGTTGTTGTAAGATTAAAGACACCGTATTATCGATATATCTCTATACATAGATGATACTGGAAAGTTCAGTTACATGAAGTGGTAAGTTGTAGTCACACAGTCTGGAACTGGAGACAGTTCTTCTTTCGTACTTTGAACTGAGCCGCTTTGGAAATGAGGACACTTTTTAGTCACGAGCAAAATAAACACAAATCCAAACTAACGTCTAGATCCTAGGTATGCTTCAGTAGGCATTCAACATAGTTTTAAATTCAAAATTTTTATATCAGTAGAATGTGTTTTGCCACTTCATTTAGTGGAGCGTTAAGTATCCCTGCTTCGCTGACCAAGGCGGACAAACAGAAATTTTTCCACTAAAGAGATCCAAACCACACGCATATCTCTTGATTGTTGGCTTAGTACGCTACCGTGATGCTGCATATTTCTTCGATATCGATTGCCTAATGAACCTCGATCCACATCACTTGAGAATCGAGAATCGGTACTGGTTCCATTAGTTCAAGAGGTTTAAGAGTCTAAGCACAATATCGATTGAAATATTGAGATTTTGCTGTTGTGTGCGGGTTGACTAACGTACAAGTTATCTGCTTAACTATTACAACCACTGCCAAGACAAAAACTTTCAGAGCAAAGACAGACTCATTGATCAAAACGTGTTTTAATCGAGTCTCGGTGTATCTGCACAGTGTAAGATGTTTCCGTGACTACCCAACGTTGTTCTGCACTTGTTCCTAACCTCGATAAGGACGCCTTCAGGCGATTGAAACCAAGGATCTAAAAATATCGCTCGGTCAAAATCACCACACGGGTTGCAGAGCAACCAAAATCATCTGTTACTCTACGAAAACTAATGCTGTAAAGAAATAAAAGTAACCAAATGTTTGTAGCGGTGAAAAATACCCAATCGGCATGAACTGATGACAAATAGGGACGAGTTCAAAACGTTTGCGTGAGAGGTAGTTAGTTATGATGACGCACATCCTTGAAGCCCTTATTCATCTGTGCAACCTTGTCTCGATGGCAAAACTGTCAAAATATCGCCCCTTGCCTAAATTTGCAAACCTAACACCGGCGCTAATCACGCTATGCGTTTATCATACCCCAAAATAGCAAAAAGACGTCAGTGTGTTTAACAGTGGAGATCACTTTCTTCCACCACGGTGCTGTTATATTTAATGTGTTCCTTGACGTTAAGGGCCGGATTTTCAAGTTCTTTTAACTTAAGTGTAAAAGTTTGATTACAAACGGATGTGCGCTTGAGTACCCGAAGCAGTTTTACATGCAAATAAGCTGAGCGCACGTGGATAGCCAGGGGCAAGTTTTTTTGTCGTGCGTTTAAAACGCAGTGCTTTTAACTTCCTGCTATAAATATCCGGAATAAACCCAAAGAGGCACCCTCCTGCATTTTGATCATTTTTGCTGACAAGCTTTATTCTTTCTATTTATTCATGTTTTAATGTGAGGCCACTTTTCCTGTGCACTGGCGTTTGACGTCTTAAGGCTGGGGGGAAAATTACCGAGCTCGGTTAGTCGCACACCAGAGCCGGCAGGTACGACTCAGGCTGCGTGTTTTCATTGGCGCTTTGTGTCTCCAAGAACACGCAGATCATTGGCCTTTTTCGCTACCTCATTTGCATGAGTGCGCTGCCGGTGTAAGAATAAAGAACGATAGTATTAAACACGTGCTGGCAGAAAAACAAATGGATACATCTCCTTCTCTCTCTCTCTTTATTTGTTGGCTCAGTAGTACCTGCGTATGAGGAGTTATTTTGTCTATGTGAGTTGGAGGAGGAGCCAAAGTTTTGTTTGTTGTCAATTGCTTGGCCAGGTAGTTTTGTTTGGGAGCCATTAGTGAACAATGGCTAACGGTTTTAACACGGTAAACATATCATCAGTTAACGAAAGTGGTTTGCCTCTCGGGGGTCAGCCAAAAACAGATAGCTTTTTCATTTAGAGAGAGATTATAATTTGGAAAAACGCCACGTTTTGTACGAGACAGGACTAATATTGTTTGGCGCTGGACTTCTGCACTGTTATGTTCTGATAGGGCTGTATTTGTGCTCAACTTAACGACATTGCGACGCTTGAGGATTTTTTTTTTCCACTCGTACCAGCGGTTCGCAATGCTTTCAATATCACCTTCTGTTTAACATATAGCAAAGAATAACTGAATGATAGTTGGTTGGCAATGATGCTTGCCATGGGTGAAGCCTTTAATTGCTGCAGTGAGTAAGATCTTTTGTCTTACCTGAAGGTGAATATTGTGAATTCAAACTATTGTCTATGGACGACAATTGAAAATCCCAATACTGATCTCGTGTTCTCTGCTCTCTTACACTAATATTGACGCACGGATAATTGTTTATTGTAAACTTAGCAGAAACATGGCAACATAAGCCAGGCAAACTTTGGAATATAAAAGTTATCTAAGTGTTAGTTCCACTGTATTACATTTTCGGAATGCAAATTTTAAGAATGTTCTTGCTGACGATTTTTTCCAAACATTTGGAGACGTGCTCTTCTCTTGGTGAGAATGCAAACGATATATTCTATAGATTGTTTAAAGAAAAGATGTTCAAAACAAATTCACTAGTTTGCAATTGCTCCATCGAGATAAAACTCGCCCTAAGTTTTTGCTTCAAGCTATTTAATTGTCAAATGTTAATCTTCGACTGGGTCGCTACTTATTCAAAAAAGGAAAATTTCTCAAAACGAATTTAAATTGTTAGTGTGTTGTACCACCTGCCCTGGTCCAAACATCCATCTTTGAATGCAGTGAACTGGGAAAATAGAAAATAATATCGGCGCCAAAAAAACACGTGCGAGTTAAAGAAAAGTTACATTTCCTTTATAATGTCTTCTTTCATAATCTAATAACATGGAGAAATAAACTTTGTTTGTTCAGTACGAGTAATTGGTGGCACAGCGAGACCGAAACTGTGGTGAGATGTTTTCTATTTAGTAGTCCAGTTCTTTGAAAGTATTTGGAACTGGAGTAATCCTTATGACGCAGCGTGTGCTGGGGATTAATCACTTCACCAACCTCATTCTCGGGCCATTTTAATTCATTCAGTCTTATTTTTATATGTAGATATAATTGACAGAAGACCGCAAATGCTTCTTTGAGAGCTTGTGTTCCTTTACATCCTCTGTTTTATTCAAATTAACGGTGCAGCTCAATTAGAATCAGAGAGTCTTGAGCAGTGCTCAGTTCAGAGTACATATAGGGCTGCTAACTACACTCTCTACAAAAAAGGGAAGGCTGGGCCTTTGAATGACTTGTACTAAATGTAAGCTTTTAAAATCGAAACACAGGGATTTACACAAAAGCAGCTTGCAGTGTTATTCATGAGGAAAAACATTACCTCGTTTTATGTATAAATGATAGGTTCCGGTGGCGAATTTCTCGCGTCTTTTGTACTTTTACCGGACAATGTGCTTCGTTCGAGTGCTGCACCATTTAAGCGAAGCTAATATTAAATACAGGAAGAAAAACTCCTCCTCGGCTTTTGATCAGGTGTTAAATACTAAATAAGAAGGCGGGAATCCCAGCGTGTAGCGCCTCTTTATTACTCAGTAGAGTAGAATAGGAACACAAGAGAAATCTTCTGGATATTTTTGTGTCTTTCAAGCTCAACCTGACTGCCCCTTTCCGGTGCTTGATGCATTGAGTGAGAAGGGCGCGAAAGGTTCGCCAAAGTCTTAATCCCACGATACTAGAAAGATTTCAATGGGTTTCATTGTTAACGCGCTACTTGGCCTTCAGAGCTTTTAGCATTGGTTTGAGCCGTTGCCCCTTCTTTTGTTTTATTATCTGTTATTTTCTCACCTATTGTTAGAACCTTTCACGTTTGGTCCAATTTAACGCCTCCCTTTTACGAGCTTTTTAAAAGGACCTAAGTAGTCCAAATTCGCACTTTTGTTTGATGTCGACTCCGGTTCAATCCAACGGCAATGATTAGCAGAAACTCATGCGAGCTTAAAGAACCACTCTGTTTCTAGCACAATATCGAATTGTAAATTCCCTGAGGTAGATATTCAGCTCATAAACCATCACACTGATTTGGCATGATTCGCGAAATTGCCAAGAGGGACAGTGATTGGAGGTGGAGTTCAATTGCACATATGTAATTTTCAATGTCGTTTTGCCACCCACGGAATGTTAATTTTTTGCTTCGGGGGGAAGCGGAACAGTGAGCTCGTATCAATAGTTTTACGATCTTGCCCGGGATCTCATTGATATAAATATTACTGCAATTCTTGTTGTCTCAACTCTAATTGCTCGACAAATATTGACACAGTAAATTTTATTGAGTCTTTACACAACATACACAAATAGAGGGATTGTTTCGAAGGACATAAACTGACCGAAAAATTGTAACGTTTAGAAATTAAATACATGTGTTGATCTTTTAAAGCGATTTGAAACTTATCTGATGTAAATAACAGCATTCCCTTTCCAAGGGTTGTTGTCTGTAAGAATATTTCTTGTATAAATAGAAGTCTCTTAAGTTTTGAAAACGAAATGTCCAAATTATGAGTTCGAGATCGAAATACGGTTCAACGGAAATGATATTTACATCTCATTTCTTTTTATAATTTTTGTTTCTATGTACAGTGGAACGCGGACAAGCTAGCGCTTTGTTTCGTGACCTCATATCGTCCTCTTCAAAGAGAGCAACGATTCGCTGCCAAACTAACTTGCTAATGAGAGACTGTAGTCAACCTTCTACACTGAATATTCATTCATTTCTCGCTAAATACATTATTGAAAATCAACTTGATATAATCGCATCTCTAAATAAACTCTCTCTCTCCCTTATGACCAAGGAAATTTTTTCTTTGTCCTTACTTTAGAAATGTTTCTTCAAATGTCAGAACAGAAGGCGCTCGACTTTTGGAATACGATTTCAGTCATAAATTGTAAAAGAATTACTGAGTGTGCGTGGAAACGTTCTTAACTTTGGTGGCTTCGATAGCCCGCCAAACAGCTAGGAACTGTGGCGTTGTCCAAGGATGTTTGCGAGTTTATAGATGTTGTACTCAAGGGCTGTGATACCGGGTTAGGAATGTGAAGATCTTGAACTGGAGCTGCGTTTGAATTTTGTGAGCCGGTGGAAGGCTTTGTGCTTTTGGCCATCGCTTGAGAATTTTTTTTCCATTTCATGCGCCGGTTTTGAAACCAAATTTTGACTTGCCTTTCGGTGAGATTTAGCTGAGAGGCCATTTCAGCCCTTCTCTCCTTCGTAAGAAAATGATTAAAGTGGAATTCTTTCTCGAGTTCCAATAACTGCTTGCGAGTGTAGGCTGTCCTTTTCCGCTTACCCTCGGAAGCTCCTCTGCTATTCCAAGCTGCGTTTCCTGAAGGAAACAACACACAGCAAACTGTTATAAACGAGCAAACGCTGAAGCAAACCTTTTCGAAAATGGGAGCAATCTTCACGTTAAATCACAGTTAAATGCTGACTAATGGCGATCGCTTATTAAGTACAGTTTTATGGCGCGTCAAGTATCGTCAGCAGTTAAATATCGCGGCGCTAGGAGCCTGTAAATATCGTCCGTGCGGTCACAGTACGTCGTTCGAGGACAAATTTTCAACAATTAGTCAAACTAATGCCAAATTAATGCTTGTAAACCGCATAAGTTGTTTGTTATGTGATAAACATTTCACAGAGTCAGAATTGAAGACAAGAGCTACAGCGAAGAGCGATAAGCGTAGTTTGCGCCAGCGAGCGTGTCTACCTTGTAAGAGGAAGTCTTGATGTACTACTAACCTGCCGCAGCCGAGTTATGCCACCAGTTCTCCGCTGAAGAGGTGCTTTTCAGCCAAGCGTACTGATGGAACGAGCAGTTTTGGCTTGCCTCTTGAGGCGAGTAGTAACCCTGATGATCAATAGGAATCGTGCTTGCATTCTGCCCTGAAATCGGTGCGTTCGCGTACGAGGATGGCTCGGCGGTATATCCATTCACTTGACCGAGGCTTCCCTGAGGCATGGGTGACATAAAATTCGGCAGCGGCGATTGATTATAATAATTTGGTGACTGCATTCGGCAAGGAGTGTAGGGAAAATCTAACTGTTGAGCGTGAGAGCCCGTGTCTTTTCCTTGCAGGTTGCTGCCAAAGTACGAATAATTTTGCGACTGCATCGCTCCGGTTGTCATCGTTGCGCGTATGAAAAGATAAGCCTCTAGCTTGAGTGCGCGGAGGGTATTTATAAATTTGTTTTTTGTATTATAAATAATGTAGAACGCCAGACAAGCGTGACGTATGTCACCTGGGCTGAAACGTCTTGTAAACGCATTATTAAGTATTGAAAAGGCCTTAATTAACGTAAAAGCCTCAATACTGTACCTTGTGTGAGAATGGGCGGTTTTAGGAAATTTGAGTGCCAGATTCTAGGAAGTATAAAAATATAGAAAGCTCGCGTAGAATTAAAATAAAAACCGCGTCGGTAGTTTTTTTGCACCTAATGCGGTAGCATTCGTACGATCGATTTTTCGAATCTTTTGCCTGGCCAAAGAACGCGGTAAACAAAAAAGGAAATATTCCGTTTTTTTTATTTTTGTCGCCTTTAGTATAGCAATACAGCAAGTCAAGTTTAAGTTGAAACGAGTTCGTATCGATTGCCCTGTAAGTGAATAACAAGAGTGCAAAATGCAAACTGACAACATCTATCACTTAAGACTTTACTGAATGCTGACGCTTCGTTCGAAAAACCGGTTTATTTCGGTGTAGCCTTACAAATGCTGAATAAACAATCCCTTATTAATAGAATCTTGCTGAGATTTTAAATTGTTTAGCGACTGGTGCGGCGTTTTGTTCGCGGACGACTACTTCCTGCGTTAAACATCTGCCTGGCGCAAACATTGATAAAACTCGGAACGTTTTATATCTCTAGCTTGCGGGCTTTCCGGAAGCCGAACACGCTTTGTTATCAAACGAAACGTACAATTTCCACTGAGTTAAGTCGATTGCGGACGCGAACAGTGTAAGCTTTTTCATAAACTGTTTCAGCGAAGATAACCGGTGTTAAAAGTTTTTAATGCTTTTTCTAAAGGGACTTGAATTTTGATCTAAGATTGCTTGTGAATTTGGTAGTCGATAAATTGTTTGAGATAAGAAATTAAAACTAGGAGCGCTAACAGCTGTGGGTTCATGGTAAGTAGGGTTTGGTGATAAAAGCAAACTCGTAAAATCGAGTTTTGCCTGTGCGTTAATCAACGTTCACTTGTCGAATTCGACATAATTTTGTTGTGATTTGTTTGGAGGTGTTAACAAAGGCCTCCCATTCCATATAAGAATAAAAGCGCCTAACAATGAAGCCTATATTAGACTAATGAAAATCCTTTGCTGAATGAAAAGTGAAAACAAGATGGAAACCTTGACAGTAAACTAAGACCATTCGTTTCATGATTTAACACTGAATACATCCATTTAGCTCTTTGCCGAGCACCAAATGAGTCATCCTGGTTTTACATCAACACCACGTCTTAATCGATTGTATAAAATGGCGATGGTACTCTTCTAGCCGCCTAAAACATTTAAATCAAAACACCCAACACTGTATTTCCACCACTCTTTATTTTACTCATACAAGACATCCGGAAACTAAACAGTTGAAAAGGTTTACAAAATCATGTGTCATGTCCTTAATTTATAACACAGCTTGGATAATAAGACTATAAATCTCTTTACATTTCTTGTTAACATTGACATTCTTGGTGTTAGGTTTTATTTGCTCTCGAAAAAACCAAGTGTCAATTTACTTGCACGCAGAGCACAGCACATGTACCAGAGATGGTGTAGGGATTAAATTTTGCTGAACCACTAAGTAATTTGACGGACGTCCTTTTAGTAGAATAACAAACAGGCAGGTGTTCAAGAAAACAGTCATTTTATTTATTGCAAACTCCAAGAAGCGATTTTCACATTGTAATTTATCGTTATGAGATTACACGACTACTGTCACTAACAAGGCGTTTAAAAGAGAAGTGCACGATGTAAAAGAAAACATAAAATCGCCGATTTCAAAAATATTCTTTCGTTTTTATCTGATATTAATATAGTACTATAAGAAAGCCGGCTTCCTCGCAAGTCAGCCATTTCACAACGAGATATTCTGACGCGCCATGTCTCGGCTATACGGCTCTCAAACGCGAAAACGGGTTGATAGTGTGGTGTCCTCGTGTTAAAATTGATCAAGCAAAAGAATGTAGCTCTTTGTAGAAGAGAAAAATAACAGCGTTTAGCTTGGGCGCTTAAGTTCTTTTCATTTCAAACAGTGCCGGAAATGCTCTGGCATATTTAATAGAAGTTTGTGCAGGATTTCAATATAAGCTGCTCTGTTGCCGCACTAACCCTTTCAACATCTCCTCCCCCCAATTGAATAAACAATACACTTTGCAAATATCACATATTTGTTAAGCAAATTAATCTCTAAGCATTTGAGCTTTTAAAAATATCTTAGCTGAGCTTCTCAAACTAACAAAACGAAAAACATTCCGCCAGGTACTTCAAACCTTATTTTTAAGCGGAGAGAATTTACTTGCTAAGTTATCTATTTCCTTAACATTTTCTTGTCAATCTGGCTAGCAAAAGCCCGATGGGTTGCCCTGTATGGGCCATGTTGAATTTGCTTTTGTTATGAACATACATTGAAGCGGTCTTAAAATAAAGGTCTTTGTCACTGCGAGAAAGTAAGGCAAGAAAAAATGTCGGACATTTTTGAAATTTAGTGAAACAGTAAAGAGTTAGTTATATTTCTGCAAAATTTTGGGTAGTAACTTGTTACAGAACAAATTCGCGCTGTTCTGGTTATACGGAAAATGTCACCTCTTGTATGATACTTTAATATGTCTTTCGCTGGAAAGAGGGTTTCGTGTAGCAAACAGTTACTCAAGACTGAATTTAAAAAGTTCCTATGGCGCTAACGGCCTGTAAACGTGACTTGAGATGATAACGAGTTATCAAACCCTCCAGTATGATTATGCATGGGTGCTTCCTATACTGCGAGTTAGGTTTACCCTTATCCACCATACTAAAGTCACAAAACTGAAAACAACAGCACCCCGGGGCAGAAAAACCATCTTATCCGTAACAATTATAATATATCTTTTATGTAAGTCTCCTTGAGCAAGATCCGCTAACCGTTCACAACTGTTGCAGAAAAATAAATGGAAAAACTAAAAGAGAATGTTTTACGTTGGCAAATGTTAAATGTCTTTTTCCCTTTTCGATTGCTTGAGTATTATGAAACACCTCATCCACTTCCAATAATTCTTGTCTAAAAACTGGATAATAATAAATAAATAATAAGGTAGATTTTACTGGAGGTTTGACCAAAATGAAAGCTTCTTCAGGGTTACGACATTATTTAAAATGGTGTAGGCTCGTTTACTTTAAAGACAGACATAAGAGATCGAATTGTAACTTAGGGTCTCAATTTTATCGCACCCAAAGTTTTCGGAATAATTGAAATTAGTTTTTCATGCGTACTTCATATCAGTGTATTTTTTTTCCATTTCAAACTGGCTGTTCTGAAAAAATTTTCGTGAAGAAAAAGATAGCCGGTATAAAGAGCAAAGTGTCCCACTTGCATACCCTTTAATCTTGAAAACAAATAGTTGTACCTTGTTATTGAATACTCCAATTTACTGCACGTTGGTCCTATTTGCTATACTACACTTTATGGGTATATGCAGAAGTTGTTACCCAACAAATCGATACATGACAAAGAAAAGAAAATTTAAAGGAGAATGATTTACTTTACAAAATATATCCTGAGACGTATTTGAAATCAAGCGTTCGTCAAATTGACTCCTCTCGTTCATCCAATTAAATCTCATAAAGATGGAAAGTTCGCCGCCTGCTGGTAAATTGTCGCAAGATTGTTTTAAGGGTCAGATTGAAAGCGGCGTCCTCAGTTCAGCCAAGGATTTTATTTCATTGTTAAGCCCATTACGTTCCTTAGAGTAACAGTTTGTAAAAAGAATTTTAAACACCACAATCAATGTTATAAGTTTAAAACTAAAATAATATAATTACAAGTTTTAAACTGAAATGTGTACTTTCCACACTAATTTAAAAGGTAAAACAGACTCGCCATTAAAAAGCCATCACTTCTTAGGCGTTTTAGGTAGACATTTTCTTTTGTTGTTACAAAAAAATTGGTAGAGTCTTGCCCACCGATTTCTTACCACTTAGGCTCAGATTTGGTCATTTTACAGCCCTTAAATGCTTTGTTTAAGCCTATAAAGCCACCGACAGAGAAGTTTAAAAGCGAAAGAAACAACGAAGTTGGTGAATGAATGACAGCTATTTAGTAAATTTTACGTTCCTAGAAGCTTGTTAAATGTTCTACTTAGAACAATTTAACTTTGGCTTCACCCAGTTTTGTTGCGTTTATCTTTCTCTCGCTTTGTGAGTCAACGCCCGAGTGAATAAACTTGGTCCGAACTTCTGAATGCGTGGGTCAAATCCCAGTAAGTGACAATTCAACTGAACGCTATTAAGCAGTGTTTCCACGTGGTATTGTTTGTTATTCTGTACAAGGTGATCCTTGGTTTTAAGACCATGTACGAAACCCTAGTGTGCGGCTGTTTAATTAAAAGCTATTGAACAGTAAGTTCATATGCCGCTCTTGTTACATTTTTTGTTCAATTTTGAACTTAAGGGATAGTTAAGGAACCCCGCAACTTCTAATCTTCACTTTCAGTGTCCTAAAAATATGAACAACTCTGCAGTTGTCTTTCTTATCTTGTCACTAAATTGTCAAAACAATTTCAGTAACACAATCTGCTATAAACCGGCAACGCCATACAATAAAACTCAGTTTTGTCCCGAAATCTGTTCTAACGCGAGACAGAGACACACCAGCCAGAATATCATGTAGCGAGTGCTGACGTTGTGCCGGGCTTAAACATACATTGATTAAACCACCAAAAGTGACACAGACTGTTCTTTAGTGAGAATGAAAAAACTAAGGGATAAACAAGACTCAATGGAACATGTATTCTATCCGTTTTTCAAACATAAAGTTCTTTTAATTTATAACTGAAAAACTGTCTATACCCTACAAGTATTTTTCATCATTATAATATTGCAGTTTCGGAAAATAAATTGGTCTCCTACAGTTCAGCATTTGTTACAAAATAAACAAAACAATCTTCGTTGTCTGAATTTTATTCATTAATAGCGTGTAAAAGTTTTCAGTTTGCGGTTTAACGTTCACTTGATAGCTTACAGGTATTTAATATATACGAACATGTTGAAATCAAAATACATCACTAAAGGCTTAAAACGTTCCACTGTTCTTTCTACTCTGAGACCTTTGTTGAAACATGTCGCTCAATTTTGTTTTTAACAAATCGATAGAGATTTTAAATCAAGTAAATAGCATCAGAGATAACGAAGACAATTTTCTCGCAATTTGGACTGAGCAATTTCTAATTTTAATGACTGCGCTTTTTCTCTTTGGTCATAAATTAAACGAGGATGGTTTCGCGAAGTGTTCGATGATTTATGGCTCTACTTTGAAAAACCGATGAATTAAAGCTCTATAAAACGGCAGTTAGTGAAAATGTTAACGACAGCGGTTTCAAAACATCGCAGTATTAATGAATGTTTTATTGCTGTTCAATTCAATACTACTCGGACATTAAACGGCACACCGACTGTTTAACTATGCCTTATCAGTCTCCTACCTTTCATATTCTAATTTATCGATAGCTTTTTTATTCTTCCCCCTCGAGGCAGCTGCGAGCATAACTTTAATTAACAGAAATCAATCTCCCTTTCGGTTGTCTTTCGAAGCTTTGTTAAGTAAACCGACTGCTGTGTTTTACGACACTTAGTTATTCTATACCCTTCAGGTATTCTAATATAATCGGAATTTCTTTCACTCCTGTGGTCTCGGAGATGCCACTTGTATGTCCAAAAGTAATTTTCTCAGTTTTCATTAATTGCGTTTCTTTGGCCTTCTTATCTTTCATCCCAAGTCCTAATTAGAGGTTCGTACGTCAGTGCCTCAGATTTAAGCACTTGCTAAAGCAAAATTTGTTAAAATAAAACACACAGAAAAAATAAAACAAAAAAATGAAATAAAATCAAGGCTGGTTGTTTAATATAGTGCAGCATTCGGTTCAATTACTTGATTTTCCATTGTGACAAAAATTAAAATCAAACTAGTGTGGTGACAGACTAAAATGTTTATTTGTAAATTTTTTAGAAAAACTTGTATTTGTGTTAGTTGGATGGTTTCATTGGATCAAATAAGGCCATCTCGGATAGCAACCACGAGGAAACACCCTCGACACTAGGTAAAAAGTTGGGCAAAAATCAAAACATTCTCTTATCTTGTACCTGCGTTTGGAAAGAAACGAAAAAGGAAACCTGAAGTACCAGAGTAAAATGTACTGCATTAAATTTAAAATTCCAAAATTTTGTTATGTTGTGGAAGCACTCCTTTACCCTCAGTAAGAGCTTAATCTCGTTAAATCCATGTCAGATGTGTATAACGTAAATTAGAAACGTGAACTAACAGTTGGAAGGTATTAATAAGTGATATATAAGAAAATGTTTAGATTTGGATTTCCGGACAAGTCAATTTTTACCGTCGACTGCTTTTACATTTTCAAGTTATATACTGCCAGGAGATAAAATGTCTTTAGTACCCACCCTAGCAGAAAATTGAACATTTAAATACTTCAACTGGCTTTTAGGCTTGAAAAGAGACACATAGTCAACGACTTTTTCACATTCGCACCCTGCACAGCTAGATTAGTAAACTAAGTAAAATGACCGATGAATTGCTGTCTAGTTTTCTTACACTGCTAGCTAAAAACAGTATTTAAGAAGAGTCAAGCGAGATCAGGAGTGTTATAAAAATTGCCACCTGCCCAAATATATTGTTCTTTAAACATGCATTTCTGCTCTCCAAATGCTCGCTAGAGCTCATAAAAATGGCAGTAATAAAAAGAAGAAGTATGCTTTTGCTACAGACTTACAGCAACATATTAAGGGTAGCAATCCTTCAGTACTTGCCGTGGCTGGGTAGGGAGAAATAAACCCTTAAAATAATCCCAAAAGACTAGAGAGAGAACGCTCACAATTTCATTTAACACACCGAAAACTGTACGTGTTGGTCCTGTCGCCAAATTAGTGGCCAATATTTTTTTATGAAAAAGAAAAGTTTAAAGCTTCACATCTGTCCTTTATGGAAATCTTTCTTTAGATTCTTCTTCACGTATCGCTAAATAAAAAGCTAAGACAAATGCTCGACTTGTTTACAGAAAGTGGAATTTTAAATTTACTAATTTTCACCTCAAAGAAAAGGTTTTCCTGAGGTCTTTCCATTATTTGACTGGTAAGGTAAGGAAATCGAGATAAAAATTCAAGAAATATAGTATACTTTGGATTGTCTTGCTGACCGAATGATCAAAGAAATAGCCTTGAAAAATGACACCTACGGTGGTGAGAAATCCATGCACTAAATACAATACGTTAATTCGAAAATTGTTCCACTATTCATGAACCACTTTCAACGTAAGATTTCTGTTGTATCGCTCAATCAACGAATTCAAAAGGTACAGAGTCGATGAACAATATAGCCGGAATTACCGGGGCAACTAGATAGATTGCTCGAAAATGACATTCAGCGTCCCTCTGTAGAGTGCTCCAATTCCGCCATTGTTTTTGTTGTATTCTTTGACCACTTTAAATTCGGTGCCGCTTGTTGTACCGAAGTCATCAAATAGAAAACCTGTTAAAGTGTTACGCAATGTGATTTTTACTTCAATACTGACGAGTTCACCGTTCTATCTTGCTGATTCCGCCGGGCATACACTACGTGGTTATTTTATTTTATTTTTTTCTTGATTGTGTTTACATGTAAACCTGATTATCTCAACGACTTATTCATGCGCATCTCTGTTCTTAATTTGCTGTTTAATACAAGAATTTTCACAAAATGTACTGAATGTGTACCAATACACCACCAGTAGTGGCCTGGTTTATGTCGTTTAACTTAAGTGAAGAGAATAAAGTCTGCAAAGCGAGGAAATCTTACAACATTCTATAACTCGATCTTGCTTAGTTCAAATATCGTGTACACATCTTTTTCTGGAAGGAAGCCCTCTTAAGTAAACTGGGACCGGTGTAAGCGTTGCAAAGACGTCAGTTCAATTTAGAAGCTGCTACTAGTTTTAAAAACCTACAACTAAATGCCGTGACACAAAACTGGTTGCTTCCAGCAAGAGACTGATGTGGTAACGAAATGAGTGCAATGCTCTTGACTGCTGCTTGGACATTAAAAGCAACTATAAATCAATGTTGATTTGCTTCAATGGAATTAAATCCCTGTATAAGTAAGACTATTTGAAAAAACTCTAGTGCAATTCTTTCTTTCTATCTGATCAATTGTATTTTCAATTCAAATGCTGTGGTCATAAAAATTAAGTCGGAAAAGGCCTAGTCGTTCAAATGAACGAAATACTGTATTCCTCTAACTGGGAGATTTCAATACGAAGCATACTAAAGACAGCTTTAATTGCTGCGTAGGACTGATTTACTCACCACACAAACTGGCTTACGTGCGTTCGACATCTCGTTCCGTAGCAGAATCGGGAAGGTACTGCTAAAACAAAGACTAAACTTCTTGTTATGTACGCTACCTGATGTTCAAGTAGTAGGTTGCGTTGAGTTTTTATCGCACCTGATTCCCAGAGCCAGGCGTATTATGAACCTTTAGTGGGCGAGGGATTTTCAGCGTGCTAAAATCCGCAAGCCCGCAATGTAACTTTGAAAACATGTTCTCAAACAAGTTATTCACAAGACTGTACCAAGCTGATGTGCCATTTTAACCATTGCTTCCTTTGCTCGACTTCTCTACTGATCTTTTCCTTTCATGGCCAAAACGCGACAGCGTAAAGGAGGAGAGAAAATGAGTGATTTTCGTCGTTTTGTAGTATTTATACAGGTTTTCTCAAGTACCTGATGTGATACGCCTTATATTAGACTCACAGTCATTTCTCTGTGACAAATATCTTTAAAAGAAGCAGTTATAGCAGCATTTGTCGCAATCACCAAGTCATTATGTCTGTTTTATTGGTTATGGAACAGTGAGTTAAAGAGCTACAAATACAGTAAAATTGCTTTCATGCTGAAAGATTAAAGACATTATCCTTTAACATCAAATAATGGAGAACATTTTCTGTTTTACGACAGAATAAATTCACAATCTTTATCTTTACCCCAATCAACCATAGTATTGGTCATCCCTTATTTATCACATCTCAGTAGCAGATTAACATTGCCCATCAACGGAAAATTGATTTTTTTTCCTCAACACAAAATCTACTTATGTAGATGAACGGCTCCTTGGGTGCTGACAGCATTTGTGAAATTTTGCTAAAGCACTGAGCTACAAACGTCGACGCTATTGTCAACCCAATTTACCTCTAACAAAGCAATTTGCTCCCGTTACTATACAACCGATTGTGAAAACCGATTTAACATTCAGGACGAAATCACCTAGATTAAAACGAAAGTAAGAAGCCGTGTTTCTATAAAATTACCTCACAAACTGACGAGCTTTCCGAATTAATAGAAAAAAAACTTGGACAGAAAATGGCCTTGTAACGTTTACTCGAATGAATAAGTTAAGGCTTCTTGCTATTTCTGTTTGCTTGTTTTAATTTAAAAGCACTCCGAATGGAATTAAACAGGCCAGGCCAATATTAATACGATAGAAAGTATATAAGCATGGAACCTCGTAATATAAACGTTAAATGCATGGGACCTCTTGACGCAGAAAAAAAAACATCGCAGTCTTTATCGTATCTCTAATAGTCTCCGAGTTTCCATAGACCAGATTGAAATGCAACTCTGCTATTGCATGTGGTACAATGGAAATTTTATGTCCAATTCAGTAGAAAGACACAAACAAAGAACCTAGATTTTTGTAGGTGAGCCTAAAGAGGTTCGCTTTTGTATATTTGGGGTCTTCTGAGAATTTAAGTTTTTATTTTAAGAGAGAAAGACAATTACTAACTTGGTCCGACAACTTTTCTCTATAGGTGTGCCTAGGAGATTATGATCATATTCTCTTGGTGTGCCCTGCTCCCCAAATACAAAGGAATATAAAATCATGTCAAAAATGTAGGCAAATATGTATCCGTTTCTGGGTCCTTTGATTTACCTCAACATATCAAACTTGTAAATGAAAATAAGAGAGATCGTCGTATAATAACAATTCTTATGATCCACCGAACACAATCCACTGAACACTGGCCTAGGTCTTTTCAAGCCAATCGCGTAGCGTAGTAACGCAAAACCAAAGCAAACGCGAATAACTTTTGATACCCTGGACCTTCCCAAAGCAAAAACAACTGCTTATGGTCTGCACTCTTTTTCATACTTAGCTAGTAAAATATGGAACTCTCTCCCGGACACTTACAGGACATCTGATTTTCTTCAATTCAAGCAAAAGATCCTTAAATATGAGGCCTTTCCACAGTGTAAAGATATATCGTGTATAAATGATATAGAATTGTAATTGTATTTCATTTTATTTCACTTTATCTATTTACTTTTTCTTTCCAATATTTATTTCTCTCGAAGATATTAGCTAACAAGCTACTCCGTAAATTCGAGGTTAGATAAAGTATATGTATGTATGTATGTATGTAACACCGCACTGATAGCATTGTTTTCTTTTCCTTAGTAAGTAGGAACTGAAATACGGGAAGTTATCTACAGTGGACTGCATGGCCTCCAACGATCTCTTCCCACTGGTCCTCCGCTGCATTCCATCTAAAAAAAATTGTCTTATCTATCCAGGGGTGGCCGAATATCGCATTTGCCTGTCGTTGGTGGTTTTTCCAGTCATTTGCCAACAATCGATCCTTGTCGAACGTTTTCCGCACTTGTTTCCCTCGCTTAAAACAATGTTTTTGAAAGGATTCCCAGCATGACAAAACTGGGCGACTGGATTCACCCAAAAGTTCAAGAACTCGGAAAAGTATCCTTAAAATTACAATTCTCGCATAATAATAGCTAATTCAGTTTAATCAACCTTTTTCGGTACATAGTACAGTTGCTGATGGATCAAGCAGTTTACATCGCGGTCCATAAAATATCAACAATAGACGTACAAAAATATTAAATGATTTGGTTAAAAATATATATATATATTTATCCATTGAAAGTGACTGAAATGTTTTTTACAAACTTATTCGCTAAATTATTTAAAACAGCAGTAACATGATCTGGTTATCGTGCTCTTGATAATCCCTACCAGAAATACTCAAATCAATAAATAGATTTTGGATAATAAATGAGAATATTTCTTAGCAAAACACTGCCTTTTTACAGACCAACATGGTCTAAACTGTCATTTGAGATCTACGTCTCATTTGAAAAAATGCCGTCCAACTGAACTTGAGAACTGAATCTTTAGAACTGACCAGTTCCGCTAAATTCACTTAGCGCGAGGGCAAGCAAGGCCAGAAATGTGGTTATATATTAAAACTGAGCGCAATACAGCTATTTAGCCAGTTCCCTGTCGTAAGAAGCAATCACATGACAAGCTGCGTTACTGACAGCAGTGTCGTGTTCCTGTGGAAGCCATATGTACAAAGCAAAGCAAGCACTGAAAGCCGTTCTCTCTTAGTACTCCTAGGTGCACCTCGATAAAGAACAATACGGAAAACACTAATCTGTGGGTTTCATAGTTAAGGTTAGTTTTGCAACGAGTTTCGTAATTAACTGTGAGGCGTCATCTCCAAAAGCTAATATGAGAACCTTTCCACCAGACAAAAAAACCTCCGTTCAGCTGTTTTATTAGAGACATCTCGAAAGATCTAACCCACCTGAGTAAGTGAAAAAGCAACACAAAAGTACATTAACGTAGGTTGTAGCAACTGGAAAAAAGACTTCTTTCTGTTTGATTCCTTCTCTTTCGTCGAGGAATAGGGCTTGAACAGGAAAAAGGCTTGGTACAATTAGTACCAAGGCCTCTACTCTATACTACACAAAGATACCAACAAGCTAGTGTTGTGGACAGAGGGTGGGGAGGGAAGGTGAGGAGTCGAGCTAGAGTCCTTTCCTATGCTTACAACTAACCGGCTTGGCACACTTTTTGTGTTCCCTTTTCACTGGTCCCGTATCTTTTTTTTTTTTTAAGCAATTTCATTTACAGGACGAACACTTACACTACTTACATTACTAATATTATACTTAAATTTATACTTACACTGTACTTGCTAATGACACAACTTATACTTACCCTATTTAAACGTGCAATAGTGACAATACATGTATTACAATACAATCACACTAATTAAATTACGGTTGGCTTACTTACAATGCTCTTTTTATTATAAATAAATTGCATAAACATATAAGTTACTTACAAGCTACATTTTATTTTTCTACAAAGCACTTAATTATGCTAGACAACTTCCTTATTTTTCAATTACTACCAACGGAAAAACACTAAAAATTACTTACAACACTGCTGATTAAACTTACGCACTTACATAATAATAAAAACAAAAAGAAGGAAAACCAAACACACAAACAAAAAGAGAGAAAGTGAAAGAAAAGGTAGGGAGGGTGGGAAGCCCTACGGGTTTTCTTTCGCTTTTCTTTTAATACAGGCAAAGGTAACATTATAGATGCAATTGGATCAAAAGCTGTTGGTTTATCGGCCTTTATGACAAGATTAGAATTATTTGAAACAAATTATTTTTGAACAAGGAAAGACCATTTTCTCATTGATCTCTTATCATTCATTTTTTTTTCTACCATTCTCTACCGCTTTTTATTTTTTTCTGTAATTTAGAGGGTGTTATACATTCAAGGATGTAACTTGTCAAGATCTTTCTCTTGCAAATGACTGTCCTCAATACTATCAATTCCTTGAACATTTTTGCACAAAGCAACGTCTTATTGTAAATAAATGTTTGCTGGAAAAGTCCCGAGGGGTTTTAAACTCCTATGGGTAAGATCCCGAGGGACTCACACACGAGTGGTATCCAAGCCCCGTCGTCCAGTGGCACACACCATGCTGTTTTGCACACATATTATGTTTTGCTCCGCAGTCCTTTCTTGGCTCTCTGAAATTACGCAGCTCCCAGTCACACCAGGAATGTGTGAATGACTGCATCATTTTACAGTGAGGTCCTGGAATGCAGAACTTGATAGTGCAGTCGCAATTTTCCGCGTATTTTCCATGAAGACCATGAACTTCCTCGCTAGATAGCTCGTGCCACTTTTCGTACCAACAGCCACGCGAGGGAAGGATTAACTCGTTGTCCATGATTTTACCAGAGAGCATGTAAGCGACTCCTGGCTCGAGATCCTGTCCATGATGACGGGAGAAATAAATTTTTGCAAACACACGAGATGGATTTGCAGCATCGATAAAAGTTCCCCTGGTTTTCCGCACCTTATCTTCGCCTTTAAAAACTTTCTTGATCAGGACATCGTAGTACATCATCCCTTTGTCTCGGTGATTTGCTCCAGTAGGGCGATAGAGATCTTCTCCGGGAGGTGGAACCCCACGCAGCCCTAAACCTCGTTTATATCGGCCTAAGATAGAGCCAAGGACAGAACCATTCGTTTTCATTGTAGGTGGCTCATCGCTTGGTTTCTGGAAGCTTTGAGGTGAGGAACCCTTCATGACGACCAGCTTTGTTGGGTCTTCTGAGGTAGATTCTGCATCTGTTGCGGGCTTCTCAATTGGAGCATGAGTAAAAACGTCACCCAATACTTCCTCTGGCACTTCAGTTGTGGGAATCTCATCATCCTTCTTGATTTTACCCAGAATTTTTACTCGAACAACTGTTAAAAAAGATAATAACAGCAGAATAACTATACCTTTCCTTGGTAAGTGTTACATCCTTGAGAAGAACTAGTTATGGAATCCAACTCGGCTATATTTAGAGATAAGAGAGAAAATGCATATCGATAGCTAAATGACCAGTTTAAATTTGAAAAGATAAAGTGCAAGCGCCTCAAATTGTATTTCTTTCTGATTGACTTTCCATCAAAGAAAGGCGTTTCCACGCACTACGTAGCTCTGATGAAGGTGAGATGCTACCACTGACACATCGGATTTGTTAACAGCATACATAGTAAATGACTACCGCAGGCAATAGTTCCAGACTGAAATGTTTATGTCTGTCTTGTAGTTTTACTCTAGAAATAACTGTTATCGCTGTTTCGCCGTAGTATGAATCGAGTGGAAACCAAACTGGGTGTCAACTTCAAACATCGTACGATTTTATTTTGTTTACACGGATACGAGTGTGACTAGACAAAATGACAAGTAAATAGAAAATGAATACAACAATAATAAATGAAAGAAACTAGGCAAATAATAAACAAAACCACAACAAACACGACTTACAGAAAATCCACCAGAGTGAATAAAGTAGAAACTTAACAGATCCCGGATACGTACGCGATGCACAATTTGATAGAGCGGATTTGCAAGCTATTTTAAAATAACGAATCCGTAGCTCTTAAATTCGTAAAACTACGCGCGCGAAAAATGTAAATTATTTGTCCCGTTGGGATATCGTGATTTGAATAGAGAACGAAACAACAGAAAGCAACGCAAGAATGTGACAACAACTTCATAGTAACGTACAGATATCAACGTAACTGTACAGCGAGTGGGAATGGAATGAGACGGGTAAAAGAGGTACCCGTACACCTCCGTTTCAGACAACGAATATTGACCGTTCCATTGTTGAAGAGGAGAAAGAGAAACTTCCGTTTGGCGCTTTTTGATCATGAGGTGCGGACAGTTGATTCGCTTCGTAGCCCTTAAAACGTCCTAGAACCACGCCATTCGTAGCCTACCGCGTCGTAAACAGTCTATGCCGCCGGCGAGCAGAAACCGTATCGAGGATTTTGTGACACGTCCGGCTGCACTACACCATTCGTCGTGATGACACGGATTCAGGGGGAAAGCTGTAAAACGGAACACCCATAGCCGCTTTCAGTCATCACACAATTTGACACTCACGAGTGACTTCAAGCTGTTTCCGCTGGTGTAGGTTGTCGTTTGTGCTGTACAACCTTGCGTTAATTAGCGATTCCTGCGGTTGCAAAACCCATTTTCCGTTTTTTAAGTTTAGGTACTGGTCGATTACTTTTTTTTTTGGCAAAAATGCGCTGGATTTCCCCTACTCTCATTCTTACGCAGCTGGAGTTCAATTCGCAACACTAAACTTCCGAACGGGGGTGTAGGCGAGGCAAGTTTCGTGATTCCGGAACACCACTATTGGATTATAAACTGTTCAATGTTGGCAATCCATTCCCAAGCCTTCCCAAAAAACATGTACACCAAATTAGTACATGAACAACTCTATTGAAGGAACGCAACATGGACTTGACTTAGCGCGTAAGTTTATCATATCGTCAACTATTTGATCACAAAGCCCCCACAAAGGAAGTGAAGACGATTACCGTATGTAAGCACCAAAACAAGGAAACGTCGGTGGACTTTAATTTTTCCTGTTTTAGCTTAAGTGCCCTGACCCGGTTTAACTGAAGGCCCAGGCGTGATGGAATGCATGGTAAAGATAATAAGATCACTTTGGCTTTTGCAACAGATGATTATTCATTTTGTTTAAAGTCTTTAAACTACTCAGGTTTTTATTTGGTGAAGACAACGTGATACAGACATCCGTTGGACCTTTCCAGAAAAAAAAAAAAACACTGACCCGAGACAGATGCTACTTAGCCCTAAGGAGCATTTAATTACATTGAACAATCTTC